AGATTTAGTCAGGGACAACCCACCCCATCAGAAATATAACCATATAACCATAAATGTTTTGTTTTTTGGTCTAACAAAAGAATGGTAAAAGGGGGAACATCTTGAAGTGATCATGGTATATTTTAAGAAATTATCACAGTATTTGCCTGGACTGGCTGAAGAAGAAAAAAGACTGGTCAAGCCAATGTTTCAACATGGGACCCTGAGACAACAGCATGAGTGCTAACTTCTACAAAGTAACATTTAGTACCACTACAGAAATAAGTTTTTAGAACAATATTTAAATCTTGATAAACTCATAACATTACATTACATATCACTGTTAATGAAACATACACTGGTATCACCAAGCTGCCAATCCTGAAAATGTATATTATGTTATTAAAATGTTTGTATCATCGAAGACAGTCTGCTCAGAAGTTTACTTTAGACTTTTTGCAACAACATTTCCACTATTAGTTTTAGAACAATAATTCACGATAGCTCAAAATTTCTTGGGTAAAACCAGGATATTTTCCTTGAAGCTCATTTAAATTGTCAAGTACTTTGACTGAAAAAGAACACGCACAGAATATTTAAAAATGGCAACAACACATCCAATATTTAAAGACTTTCTGATATTGAGTTTAAATCCTGCAACTTCATTACATTGTAAAATAACAAACATGTAATATAATTTCTATACAATGTTTGCTTTCAATCATTAGCAAATATTAAAATACTTTAATTGCAGATGATATAGTATAAACACCATGGTACAAGTGCCTTTAGAAACTTACCGGCTAGGAGTGTAGCTTTCATCCAGTTTGTAGTCTGTAAAAATATATATATCATGAACAGTTGTCTTTCTTCGAAACTGAATATTTACTAGATGTGGCAATTGTCCATCAGATTGCCAGTAGGTTTCCGTACAATTATCACGCAATTGGTCAACACCAAAACCTGAAAGAAAACACAAAACAGAAAAGTATAAATAAGCAGTAAAAACTAAAGAAATATTGGTATCACTTAATTTACTTATATGAAGGATAAGTCAAGTGAATTATAAGAATTAAAGAGTGATATAACCTGATACTGAACCACATGTATTTGCCACAAACATATTATCCTAAGTAGCTGCACAGACTTGTATTCGTGAGATACTTGGCTTGAAGTTTAGACAAAGTTTTCAGACCATCATTACTCTCAAGGCATGAAGAAATTCAAATATGAAAGTACTTGATCGAGATGGTCACAGACGAAACCTACAGTTCAAATCTCAGCCAAGAGGAGTGGTTTTCCTAAGTCCCTCCAAGCTAATACTGTGATACATCCCTAGTATAGGTCATAATGTTGCCATTTTTCAGTTATAATCAGTCTTATCATACTTGTTGGTTGGGTTAAAGGCATGCCAGCAACTTCGACTGTTTGTGCCTGTATACTGTCATTTAACATCATGTAACCCATGCAAGTGAGAAAGTGCCATTTAATAATCCAAGTAAATAAATCACAGGTCATAAGAATGACTGGTGAGAAGAGAATTAACAGCAGCTAAAATGTGCTTTATTAGAGATACAGCAAATTACACCCTTTCAACCACAAAACAAATGATGAGAAGATTACAAATTCTACCAATATTATATCTTAAACACTATATTGAATGAACTTAAAGATATTAAGGTATTACTGTAAAAATTATGATGGGTTCCTTGCACTCAAAAAATATTCAGGCCAAAGAAAAGAATCATTAGGGAACTGTCTAAAAACTTGATAGAAAAATTCTGTTTTGTAATATATGTATCAAGTCACATGTCTAATACTTGGGAAGAACACCCAAAATCTACAACATTAATACAGTTTCAAATATACCTGGTTTACATGATGATAAGCTCCATATAGCCTGAGAACCAACTTCCCGAACTTTGCCAGCCCTCTCTTCACGGATTGGATCAACAGGTTCTACACCCATCTTTGTGGTCATTGCAAAAAGACAATATATATCTATAAACAGAACATTCAAACACAAGGTAAATTAGGTTTACTGCTATGCCTATGCACAGTGTCTGGCTAAACTTAGCACTACAGCATATGCAAGAACTGCAAGCTGTTTTATAAATTCTGACACCAGGGAGATAATTTGCCTATCATAATAATCAGAAGGAGGCAAAAATCAAATATTTTGCAATGTAGCAAAAGTGGATGTGGCAAAAATCCAAGCATTCGCAGATCCTAATATTGAACCAAAGTAAATGGTTGGATGTTTCCTTTAACTTTATCCAAAAGCCTGGTACTACACTTGCTAGGTGAACTCCAGAAATGTTCTGGATATTATGGATATAATATTTCACAGCAACTCAACCATGCACACACACAAAATAATTCGGACAAAATAACATATTAATTTATTTTGAATTTATGAAGAAGGCAATGGCAAACCACTTCTGAATCATCTGCCAAGTAAACGGACCTGTCGTCAGACAGAACACTAATAATAATAAAAATTGAATTTATGGCAGATTAAGTGCTAGTTACGAGATTTTCAAGAAATCTACCATGTATTCTAAAAGAGAACCTAGTATAAGCACATAGAATAGTTCTGGACCTTATAAGGTATGCCAATCTGAACTGTTTGCTTATAGCAGAAGTAAATCTGTAGGTTGCTGAATGTTCCATCACAGTCATCCCAGCAACATATGAATGTGTCTGGCAAGTCTGGTAGCAGATTCTTCCCAACATGAACATATGAGCAAGCCAGAAGACTGAACTGAGCCAATGTGCTTGATCCAACAGACTTTGAGTGTGACATGAGTGGAAACTGACATGTCTCATGTCATTGGGATCCACAGACTTAACTTCACATGACTCCCACAAACTAGCATATACACTTTCCTCATCATTTTTCTCCTTCACCTCTAGTTGTGGTGTATGTTATAGCATTACTAATGTCTGAATCCATCGAATGTGTAGTCTGTGTTTGTAATGTTTCCAGAAATTTCTCCTTTCCTTCTATATTTATCAGACATATACTTGGGCAGAAATTATACACAACATCGTGATACACAATTATATAATACTGAAAATAACTTGTATTTCCAAGCAACATCCAAAACAATAAGGAACATCTTATGAATACTATTTATTGTAAGCAATTATTTAGAATCCCTTTAAGAATAAAAAATTTCAGACACTGTTATTATTACATAATTTATATTCAACCCGTTTTATTTTTGGAATACTTTTTTTTTTTAAATTTCCTACCATTTAATCTAACATTTTCAAAAACAGGATTAAAACCTAACTTACAGTACAGCACACATCCGTGGCGTCGGTAGGCACTAACGTAGGCGCAGTTCATCTACATCTTCTTCTTTTGTAATCAATCCTGGGATTGGTTGTCAGCAGCTTCCAAGCTTTACTTATAATTGGTCACAGTTTGAATTCCATAGATCCTTCATAGAAAAGAAACCACTGAATTCGTATGGCCATATGGCAGCAATGGAATGGTTACTTCCAGAATATAAGCAGAAGGCCGCCAATAACATGGGGAGAAGGCATTAGAAAAGCAAAGAGCGACAGAGGACTTACAGAAGAATGCAAAAGAAATTTGGGGGTGAGAAAGCGACGTTAGGCGCTGTGTTCCTTATAAGAGCTAAACCAAAGGATGTAGAACATGTCCTGACCTACTAGGGTACCTGTCGATTTTTACACCCAGATTCAGCTATGGTTTTTCAGTGTAGCTGTTGAATAATAAAACAAACCTTTGCGAAAGATTATGACAGCAATTGATCAGATTCTGAAGAGGTGTTACATAATAATTTAATTTCGGTCACAACATGCCGAGAAACCAATTGCGCTCCTGTCGTTTCAAATGTGAAAAAAGGGAAACAGAAACTAAATAAATACATGGTAATTCAAAATAGAAAACCATCATCGTGGTCGATACCACATAAGAGTCAGTATTGTAGAGTGTGCCGCGTGGCGTAATGCTATACAAGGCTATGTGCGATAGGTGAAAACTATGACAGATGTTTGATATCCAGCTGAACTCATCTGTGATTATTAGATGAGGTATGGGATCCATGGTTTACATTGCAGCGGATTAGGGGAGGGGATATGCCACACGTAGATCACGTGCTAAATTCGTTAACGGTACTTCCCGAAGAGATAAGAAGGTAGTAATTGATGTTGAGTATGTTAAAGTTGCGACGATGTTGAAAAACAAGCTGGGAAAAAGTAAGAAAATTGTTTTAGTAGAATGTAAATTATTTTCTTTATGTTCGTGTAATAGTGGGAATGTTAGTACGAAATGAACTTTTTTTTTTTACTTTGCACAATCTTATGCCCTTTAACCTCAAATATATCAATGGAATTTCATACATCTTTATTACAATCCATGTGTCCATAAGATAGTCAGATGACAGTAGGATGTGGAAAAAGTCGTAAAGTACTTTTCATACTATTATATAAGTTTAACATAATGTAAACAAAGTAAAGTTGTTCCACTATGCACCATGTAGGCGCTTGGGGGAGGGGAGGTGTTATACTCCTACTCATTCTTGACCTCGGCACCGGATGGGGGTGAGTGGTCAGCATCACGCCCCTGCCACATTTTACCCATTGGAAAGGACCATGGTACCCATTGGATGGGAGGCTGGGTGGGCCCCAGAGCCAGTATGGACACAGAGGCTAGAGGAAAAATCCTATGCCCCGTCGGGTATCGAATCCCGGTCGTCCAGTCCGTAGCCAGTCAGTATACTGAGTGAGCTATGCCAGCTAATGTAAACAAAGGGTTCACCCAAAGTAATGATAAGTTACAAATAAATCTACCCATTACATACAGCAAATAAATTATCACTTATTTGTAAACAACAGAAATTCATTGACAGAGTAAAAGGTGTGTGTAATTAAGTATGTTTCTAATGCTGCATTAAATTGTGCCTTTTTATTTACAAGATTTGTGAGACTTGATGGTATACTGTTGAAAATTTTGATCCCTGCATAATATGCACTCTTGTGAAAGCATTTGAGGTTGGCAACTGGTCTATGAAGTTGATTTTTATTGCTTGTGTTGACACTGTGTACAGCACAATTAGTTTGAAAAAGTTTTTGGTTATTTACAATAAAGTTCATTAATGAGAATTTATATTCACAAGGAAGAGCCAAGATATTTAATCTCTTAAATAGATAATGGCTCTTTGGGTTCCATGAAAGGCAGGAAGTTTCTTGACTAGGTGAGCATGGTATAACTTCTAAAGAAGAACTCTGCTTTGTGGAATTAATTACTTAGTTATTGAATTGCAGAAAACACATCAACCCACTAATGATGAAAATCCCCCCCCCCCCCCCCAAATGTTTTAATGGATAGTTTTGCTTTTTGAACAAAAGCTCATCCGTGTTTTATTTATATTTCAGCTGTAGCAGAACATTTTACTTACTTTCTGGTCAGTAAAGGTTATATGGAAGATGAATACTGTATGAATAAGAAGAAGTTGACTGATATTTTTAAGGATGAGTACCTGCCACTGTATCATGTTCGGATGACGCCTTACTTAATCCTTCAAGCTCTTGCGCAATATAAATGTATCAAAAGAGTAAATAAGGACACACCAGAGTTAGTACTTTTCAAAGCTTCAAAGGTCCAAGAAATAGTCTCAAGTCATGGAGGAAGGGTGCAAGGTAATAGGATTTCTTCATATTTATTAAATATATACCATACAAACCAATTTGTATTGTCTCAGTTGTGGAATATATTAAGATTTTTAACACCAAAGCTCTTTGAATTATGTGAGTTTTTTTTTAATTATGCAGTGAGTTGTGGTATTAGGGAATAACATTCAGTATTGCAGCTGAAATACATTATTTGCTTCTAGAACCTCTGCCTCCTTCTCCACCAGACAAGTCTGTGACTGATTCAGTCATGAAGGTGTATGTGACACAGCAGCATGCCTTTCACATTGGATTTAAAAGAGAACCTGCAGTTACAAGCACAGAGTGTAAGATATGTTCAGTAAACTTTGCTGACGAGGTTCAATATGAAGCTCACCTAGGTCTTGAGAGTCACACAGTGAAAGAAGCTTATAGATCAAACAGGTAAAAGTCCCCATTATTCATTTGTTTGTTTTGTATTTGAATGGATAATTTTTGTTTTAGATTGTTTAATTGATGCAGTAACATTTACAAAAAATTATTTAGTGTGAAATTAGTTGGGAGGATAATTATAAAATCCCCAGTACCTTGGCTAAGACTCAAATGTGTATGTTGCCAACACAGTGTTTCTGCTTAAGCTAAACTGCTTGGAGCATCAAATAAAGATGCATTATTTGTATTTTATTCAATAGATATTAGGAAAATTAAATTCTACGAGGACAACTAAATACTAAACTAACTAATTCAAAAGATAGATCAGTTATGGTGACTGAGCTGTGGCTGGATTACTGAGATTTTTTCCTGGCAGGAACAAGGATTTTTGTTTTCCCCACCACTTTTAGATTGGCTGTGGAGTCCACCAGTCTCCAACAATGGATGCCAGGCATGTTTTCTTTTCTTTTTTCTTCCCTATAAGAAAAAAGGGACGGGGCAGCTGGGGATATGACGCAGTAGGCCTGTTGAAGATTACAGTGTCACAGGATGTGGTCTCATCTCAGTTTCAGTTCACTGCCACACGTACAACGTTCAATCCCATTCTGTCATTGTGTTACCTGTATGTACCTTTCATATTTTGACTGTTACAGGAAATCCCTGTTTAGCAAACACAGCATTTCAGTAAAGTTTGCAAGTGAAGATGTGGTGGAAGAAATAATTGTTAGGGATGGTGCTGTGGGAAGTGTTTCAGTTACTGTTTCTAATACAGGCATGGCACATTGTCAACTACTGAAGATATTTGTGTTATATCAGTTAACAGAAATTGAAGAAATGTTGCCAGCACTTCCTCTCCACTTAAAACCAGGTATAACAGAATTTCATAGTAGAGATATGGTTGTCAAGTGGTAAGGTGAAAATTTGTTGTGCTAAAGGTCTCTTGTTCAAGACTGACGGGATGGATGCAACTTGATCCACACATCTTTCTTGTCTGTTGCCTCTGGCAGGAGTCAGAATGTTGGCATATGAATAAAATTGTTTGTCATGTGCGCTACTAATTTTTATGTGTAATGCATAAAAATAAATGAAGAGGTTGATTTTGTTAAAATTAATAGAATTATGTCAAGTTTTCAAAATCTGCAAGTTCATGTAAGGAAGTAAACTGTTTCTAGAACAAGTATGAAGGTCCGTCATCAGCACCAGCAGGTAATGGTATAATTTTTAAGCTCCTCAGTAACGTATGGAAGCTGGGACATTAAAATAATAACTTCTCATTATAACATTTGGTCATTATTGCACATGTACAGGTTTAGCATTCCCATAAAGCTGCAAAAAAGAACAGCTAATTGTGCAGTGTTGTTACAGGTGGCCATATAACCATTTCATTGGATTATGACTTTCGTAATTCAGGAGCGTATTTATATCCTCTGCTACTGAAGGTACTGGATTCTAGGAACATTTCATCATACATCCTTAAGGAACTGGTAAATATAACAGTTACAAGTATTAAACTTTGTGTCTGTATTGTAGATGCATATTTCCTTCACAAGGTCCAAGTCATAGTTCATGTTTAATCTGAAGCTGATTTCCCCTCCGCCACACATATTTGTCACCTGTCATACAGAGTATGCAGTACTGTCCTATGACAGCTCCCATGTCAGGAGTTTATTTCATCACTCTTGCTAGGCAAGCAGAGGTCATGAAGATTAAAAGTTTTTAACTGGTAGCATCATAAAGAAGTCTTTTGTAACTTAATTTCTAATACTAATCTTAGGTATTTCGAGTCCAGTCAGAGTTAATGGATGACCTAAAGCCAACATCCCCCTACAAAAGACCACTGAAGAATGTAATGAAGCATTGTGAAGGACCTATAGTGTATGGAGAGCCTATGCCTCCGTAAGTATTATTGCCTTGTTACTCGACATTATTGTGCTTTTCCAGGATTGGCATTATTCATTGTTACATGTAGTTCTTTGTTTTTGAGATTATTATTGAGTTTTGTCTAATATACATACATTATTCTCAGAATACCAAATCGGTTGGTTTCTGCAAGGAAGTTACCACAGTATGAATTTCCTCAAGCATTGCGCCATGTTATTAATCATGGCTTTAAGCCCTTGGAGAACATGAATCCTGCTGTTGCTCAGAAACTGAAGGAAGTGAGGTAGGTACATCATTGTACTAAAAAATTGGGGATATTTTTAGATACTGAAATCAAATCTTTTAAATCATACTTCTTCTTCCTCTTCTTCTATGGCTCTCTGGTCCGTATTCGGTCCACGGCCTCCTCAATTCTCCTCTTCCATTCTGTCCTCTGTTAGGTCCGTCTGTCCGCGGCTTTGATTGAGGTTTTGAAACATCTTCTCTTTTACGGTGCAAGGTTGTTGGCCTTGCAACCAACCCCCAACCTGGAGGACCAGGGTACCTGTCTTAGTCTGACCTCTCCCCCTCGACCAATCTGGCTAGGGAGGTCCTACCAGTAGCTCTTGGGATCACTAAGGTACTCTAGCCCCATGGCCATGACAAGGTGCAGGTACCATTAAGTGGGGTTTTAAATCATACTACTTAAATAAATTTTATGAATTGGGATAGCTCAGCCAACAGAGTGAATGGCTGTTGGCTGGACAGGTGGAGTTTGTTCTCTACAGTGACAGTTTTCTCTGTTTTACTATCTTGCTGGTTTATTTATGGTTTATGTTGGTGATGCTGTCAGTAGCTTATACTATATAGTGAAGAATATTTGGATGATTAACGATTATTGATTTAGAAAGGATATGGAGGAAAATGGCTGTGGCCTAATTTAAGGTATTATCCCTGATTTTACCTGGAGATAGTAAGGAAAATCTGAAAATGCTGTCACATAGCCTGTCTCCAGGTCAAGTTTTGAACCTGTAACCTCCTGGA